GATAGATAGATAGATAGATAGATAGATAGATAAGTATCGAACCTCTGCAATAGAGAGAAAAATAATTATATGACTAAAGTTATCGTTTTATTAAAATGAAAGATAACAATGCTATTTTTGTGAAAGCACATAATTTCACAGCCCGACAGAAGTTTGCACGAAACAGCTGTTCCACATTTCAAATGGCAGGAAGACGAGAGAGAAATGAGCAGATGACGAAGGAAATGTTGGGGAAGCTGGCGCGGACAATTTGAAATATGCTCGCTCACAAAAATATAGTGTGATCAACGAGCATTCCATGGTGTTTATCCATATTAATGAACTTGCTGTATGTTAATCTTCAATGAATGCTTGGAATTATTATTGTAATTTTTTTCTCCTTATGATTGCTGGTTTTAAGTAGTTCGTGCAGTTTTATTTTTAGGATAAAACTGGGAAATGGGGATGATATAATGGTTGCATTGTACCTAAAATGTTATACAAGCATGAGTGTGAAACATATCAGACCATATTTCCCCCAAAATAACACCAGGTCTTGTATTGAAATTTGCACCCAAAACGAGTTAATGCTTATTTCTGCAGATGGTACATAGGTAGGTAGTTGTAATAAACACCGATAAACACCCGGTAACACTAAGTGTCACTATGCGGTTGAGGATCACCGGTGGAGAGGTCCCAGAAATCCCTTTCATCCGGTATTACCATATCCATGGCTTAGACCATATCTATGCTACGGCTATATTCTATGTTAACAAATTGCATTCCTCATGGAGACGACCAATACTAATTTCTGCTGATTTAAAACTTTCATTTTCAAGTAAACAAAAAACACACTTGTAGTGAAGTTTAAAAGTCTGCATGCTTTCAAATGTTTATACATTAGTTAATCTATCTAGTTCAGTAAGATCATTGTGTGTTTCCACAGACAAACCAAATCCGTCTATCTGGTTGACGATCTTAACTAGAACTTATTTGTATACTTTTTCCAGTCAAGATAGAAAGCTGACATTTTGTGTGTGTGCATGCGCATATATTTAAAACCAACATTGTCGTCAGCATAGATTCTTAACACCGCGAGGCTTTGGGTCACCAGTTGTTACTGACTGTTTCATGAACTCCTTCCCTACACATCTGTCGGTTCAATGCATTGAACTGGATGCTGCATGTCTGGGGAAATGTCCATTCAGCAAAGTTATGTATCCAGGTCTGTCTTGGTCTTCCTCTTCTCGTCTTCTTCTTTACCGAGCCCTGTATTATACACTTCTTTACCGAGCCCTGTATTATACACTTCTTTACCGAGCCCTGTATTATACACTTCTTTACCGAGCCCTGTATTATACACTTCTTTACCGAGCCCTGTATTATACACTTCTTTACCGAGCCCTGTATTATACACTTCTTTACCGAGCCCTGTATTATACACTTCTTTACCGAGCCCTGTATTATACACTTCTTTACCGAGCCCTGTATTATACACTTCTTTACCGAGCCCTGTATTATACACTTCTTTACCGAGCCCTGTATTATACACTTCTTTACCGAGCCCTGTATTATACACTTCTTTACCGAGCCCTGTATTATACACTTCTTTACCGAGCCCTGTATTATACACTTCTTTACCGAGCCCTGTATTATACACTTCTTTACCGAGCCCTGTATTATACACTTCTTTACCGAGCCCTGTATTATACACTTCTTTACCGAGCCCTGTATTATACACTTCTTTACCGAGCCCTGTATTATACACTTCTTTACCGAGCCCTGTATTATACACTTCTTTACCGAGCCCTGTATTATACACTTCTTTACCGAGCCCTGTATTATACACTTCTTTACCGAGCCCTGTATTATACACTTCTTTACCGAGCCCTGTATTATACACTTCTTTACCGAGCCCTGTATTATACACTTCTTTACCGAGCCCTGTATTATACACTTCTTTACCGAGCCCTGTATTATACACTTCTTTACCGAGCCCTGTATTATACACTTGTTTAGGTGTCTGTAGATCTTCTTACGTGTCCGTATCAATTGTATTTTCCGTTTTGTCTCTTGGTTAAAGAGAATCAAAGCTGCTAATTTGTAGAGGGATGATACTCTGAGCTTTGTTATTGATTCTAAACATACACTAATTTAGCTTCATCTAAACTTCTAAAATCAATCAGAAGTAAACGAATCTTCCGTTAAAATACAACCAAGGACAGACACAGATCTGGTACACGCTATCTCATTCAGGCTCCTCTATGCTTAGAGCGAAAAGAATGGACGAATACACCAGTAAACATGCATGGCATCTCTAAGGTTATCATCACACTCGGAAGGTACCGCAGGGATCACATTTTTACAGCTATATACACAGAGGTAGGGGAACTGATAGATCAGCATTCAGACCCAGAAGATATCATCATTTACACAGATGGATCCGTGAAACGCGGACAAGGTAAGCATGGGTATACACAGCACAAAGAATGGGGAAAACAATACATGAGTACAGCGGCGCTTACCAGATACACACGTTATTCATGACCATGGAAATAGCCACTGCTTCTAGAGCATAAGCATGGGTATCAGAGCAAACCATAACACAGGCAGTGATTGTATGAGACTCCTAATTGTGCTTCAGAAAATAGCAACAGGTGGTATGCGCTCTGAATGGGTAGAAAGCATTCGAAAAACGCACTTAACCTCCCTCACCTGGATCTACACACCGGGCGTAAAGGAAAATGAGCGAGCGGACCAACAGGCAAGCATTGCACTAAGGCATGTGGGAATAAGCATGGACAAAGCAGGTAGCGTCAACGCTGTAATGACTGGTCTAATGGATAATGAGGAATCCCTGACACTAACACTCGTGACATGGGAGTAAAGCATGGTGAAGCACGTCTATGCCGTCTTCGAGGCCGAGATAGGAAACAATATAACCAGCTTCTAATGGAAGCAATTAGTAGAAGTACTTTGGAGTGGCTGCTGCAACGGAGGACTGAGCACGCATGGGAATGCCCAGTGTGCAGTGACGTCAATTGTGATAACATAACATAACATTGCATAACATAACAGAACTCGATTTCCACGTCTAACCAACGTGTTGTATTATTATTGCTTCTATTCACTACTGTACAGTGCAGACATATTTTACTCTACAAATCTGTTAATGTTATTATTTAGTAAAATGAATCCGTTAAGAAATGTCGCCTCTGTTCTTTAAATTACCCATTTCTGTGAACAGTAATTTGAGACATGTTTTATATGAGACTCGCAGACGTAGTCAGACAAAAACAGTTCACAAGACTTGCCACAAGGAAAACAACAGTAGACGAATGAATCATCCGTATTTATTTTCAAAGGGTTAAGAACTGGGCACGCAAGCCCGTCAAAGATTCTGCCCTGAAGAGAAATGTCTCCAGTATGTTTGTTATTACAGCGTCGTAAATGTTTGGGAAGAGCATTTAATTCAGCGTAAAATTATATGTATTTATATATTTGTTGATATGCATTTTTATGTTTTCATGTAGATATGTATCTATACGGAAGTGTGTTTAGATGGATATATATTTACATCAATATCTCCGTCTAGGGATATGATGTATATGACAGATAATGGGTAGTCCACAGTCGAGTTTCGAACTTCACCTTAAATATGTTACCAACTTTCCATCTGGTACAGCACGCAGCGTTTCAAAATAGCTTTTATTTTTGTCCCGGATCATGCTGGTGTGAAAGCCGATGAGAGAGCAGACGCTCTGGTTGGCAGTGCGACTATCAGAAATGGGTCCTCTATGGACAGGAGATAATAATCGCCAATGCTATGCGAGAGACTAAACGCTAGGAGGCTTTCAGTTTTGTGGAAAATGATTTTTCACTAATTGATTGCATTGTCTGGATGTGCCAACTGAAACCGCGAGACAGCAAAACCATGCACGAGCCACCCGTCGTTGCATCAGCCAGAACATAATGGGAGTTGTTAGCCTCAAAATACTTAGAGCCATACTCGGGAGGAGATCGGAGCACTTATAGTCATGTCCGTGTGATGAAGATGATCCCAAAAATGTACAAAGAACAATGTGTCAATCACCTAAAGCTCCCTTCCAGTGTCAGTGAAAACCATAGGAATACATGCACGTCATCTCTAGAGGCGCCATTTACTAAAAGTCGCCACCAAAATTGCAGCTGTACGTAGATGTAAGTAATCAGTCACTATAAGCTGGCCGTACACACGCATTAATATGGCATGAGGTACTTCACCTGGCTGAGCGCAGATTTGTCACATAGCTTATCCGAATGCCACGAAATGCTGCGGGCATAGAGAAAAAGTCATTCCGTGTGAAATACGAAGGGGCTTTAAACGAAAATCTTAGAAGTTAAAAGGTAAAATAACGGTAAAGTTTTGAGATGTGAACCAGCGTCATTGCACACGATTATAAACCATAAGTGCTCTGCCACCAGTACGGACATTTAATAGGAAACAGTCTGCCTGTGTCGCTGTCCGCACGCAACTCCGTAGCTACAGCGGCGTTCCTCCTATTACCCCAGAGTAACTCTGGTACCTATTACCTAGAGGCTGGGTGAACCCTGGGAACCGCCCGGTTTCGAATATCGGCAGTGGACTGCAGCGAGTCGCAGCTGGATTTGAAAGCAAGTGTCCTGTCGATTGCGCTAACGCGGCCCCTTAATCACAGAAGTTAAATATCACTTAAAGTATCCGTGTCACTGACTTGTAACCTGTCAACATTGTTGTTACAAATGTTTAGTGTGGTTTTGTGTTCAACAATACACCCGCTAGTTTGACTTCCCAAGAAAATACATTATATGTTTTTTAGGCTATGTCTTCACAGGAGCCAAGTTCCTTTCGAAACACAACTGGCCCCGATAAGGAACGGACCCCAAGAAATATGGACCAACAGACGGGCGTCTAGCAACTACGCTACGACGGCCACAGTTGGCTGGTAGGTTAAATATGAATTAACAACATCCAGTCTGCACGACCAGTGACAACTAGCTTCATTTGATCAAAGCAGCTTAGAAAAGATGAATCAAAGAAACAAACCAAAACAGTTTCTTCTGTGTACGTTGTTGGGCGCGGAGCCTAGATAGCGCAGTAGTTAAAATACTTCTCTGTAGACGGAAAGGTCTTGGGTTCGACCCACATCGTGGTATTAGTAAAAGTGACACTGGGCTCTAAGATCGGCTTAGCAAGATTGTACAAAGTAAACCATAGTGGCCACTGGCATGATGTTCACTGCATGACCCAATCGAGTGACGACTGGTCAATGAAAATGTTTGTTTTGCACATATGCCCGATGCACCTTTAGCGTGAAAGTGGTTTTTTTTTTTTTTTACGTTTGTTTCTCATTATCTCAATCAATCTCCACTTTGCGACTGAGCTTTGTGAGGAGAAACAGTATGCAATCCAGCTCTTGATGTGTGGTACTGGCTATTGTAATTCTAAGTGGATGTTGTTGTTGTTGTTGGAGTCTTTCCTTCTTTCCAAACGATGGTGTTCCATTCTGATGTTGAGGGAATGAAAATCACGTCCTATGATGATATTAATTAAAGCCAGCATTCAAGTTTGTCCTATCCATAGCACATCGCTTGGAGAACATCATGGAGAGCTTGTGTAAGATCCCAATCAGCCCCGAAGTGTTCATTCTAAAGGAAGGTTAACACAGATACAAGAATACACTGCAGAAGCTGCCGGATCAGTAGATCAGTTCTCTTCCTGTCTCATCTTGTTTCTCTCTCTCTCTCTCTCTCTCTCTCTCTCTGTCTCTATCTCTCTCACTCTCTCTCTCTCTCTCTGTGTGCCCCCCCCCCCTCGCCCCTCCCGACCAGCTGCTAGCCGAGACTAAGGACCTGGTCTGCCCTGATAAAACATTAAGTTTTCAAGCCGCATTTCCTCGTCATAGGATAAACTGGTCCGATTGTACACCGTCTTAAATGTCATACATTCATCTTCTCCTTGGGCGCCTGCTTGCTCTGGTACTTTATGTGTATGTTCGTACGAAATGACAACTTATATAAAACATGTTGTGTCTTTTCTCATTTTTCAGGAAACGGAACAAAAGAAGTATGTCTAACCAAAGCTTGCGTAACGACAGGTGCATTATTTTGTTTGCTTTTTTGATGTTCTGCTGTCTGAAGTCCTACGTATGTATGTATATGTATTTATGTACGCCTGTGTGTGTGTATATATATTTATATATATATATATATATATATATATATATATATATATATATATATATATATGCGTGTCTGCGCGCATATATATATACACGCATATATAATATTATACATATACGTGTTTGTCTGCGTATGTATGTATATATATATATATATATATGCATATATAATATTATACATAGACGTGTTTGTCTGCGTATGTGTGTATATATATACGCATATATACATGTAATGGTGTATGTTTGTGAGTGGGCGTGCTGACATCAGCATGATGACATGGTACATAGAAGTAAGGGGAGAAAGGGGAGAGTTAGAGAGTTCATTGCTTGGAAGGTGAGTCACATTCCACTGTGTTTCATATTGTTGATGTTGGCCACTTGTAGGGGGTTTGGGCTCACTGGTCTGTGTTGACGGCCAGCTTTCTCTTGAAAACACCTGTTAACTAAAGTTCTATCAGGGTTACCTGTCTCAACAACTTCTTGCTTTTGCGACCGCCTGGTGAAATGGTTTTGGATTTCAGCAGTGACAATGCTTCCAGTGTCCCCCTCTTCCTCCCTGAAAGAAATTTTTCTGCATTGTCTTGCTCGTGCTGCTGGTGAAGATGCTAAAGCTCTTAATTTCTTTCGGATTCCAAGTTGTTTCAGTTTTCATGAGTTCGAATTCAGAGGCAACACTGCATATATATATATATATAGCCACGTTATGAGAGGCAAGAATGGACATATGTGAAAACTTGAACAAATTTGCGGAAAGAAAGAAAGACAATGCCATAAGTTTCCTGACATCTTTTTTGTTGTGACATGGAACACAGGAACTGATACATGCTGTTGGAGATTATATGTTGTGACATGGAACACAGGAACTGATCCATGCTGCTGGAGATTATATGTTGTGACATGGAACACAGGAACTGATACATGCTGTTGGAGATTATATGTTGTGACATGGAACACAGGAACTGATGCATGCTGTTGGAGATTATATGTTGTGACATGGAACACAGGAACTGATACATGCTGTTGGAGATTATATGTTGTGACATGGAACACAGGAACTGATGCATGCTGTTGGAGATTATATGTTGTGACATGGAACTCAGGAACTGATACATGCTGTTGGAGATTATATGTTGTGGAGAGGCAGAGTTGCTGGCACCACTTGCCAAAGCTTTTGACGTCGGTGATCTTATTTATATATATATATATATATATATATATATATATATATATATATATATATATATATATATATATATATATATATATATATGTGTGTGTGTGTGTGTGTGTGTGTGTGTGGGTGTGTGTGTGTATTTAAAAACCACTTGCTTGCAGGCACAATTGACCCCCCCCCCCTCCCCCAAATGGGCCAGGAACCCACTGGGAATAAACTAAATTCTTTGGCTCTGTGGCTGAGATTTCAGTGAATGCATTTACTAGTCTCATGGTCCTCAAGTGCTGGGACTCGATAGACGCTGTGGGTTTTCCAACAGTTGTAGCACAGCCGCCCCGAGATCAAGATTGGGGCCTCACCACTTAATATTCCTACAGACAGCAGTGGGTACACTGAGTCAACCTTCTTTATAGAGACGGGCCAGGATTCTCTCTGTGTATGTGTGTGTGTGTGTTTTAAAAACTGTGAACATATTTCCTGACATTAGACGATTATTTCCGTCATCACCGTCTGTCTTCGTGTCACTCACATTAATCCCACACCCGATCTTCTCCCACCTCAACCACAGTCTGGTCCATAAGTCAGTGACATTTAACCCCACCAGGAACACACAAAGAGCGATTAACATCCGATGACACAAATTACCACCATTCGGATGTGAATTCCACATGCGCAAATTCCAGAAAGACTTTTAACCGTTAGGTTATGTATTATGTATAACAGCCGGAGTGCGGCTTTTAAATAAAATATAAACACACAGACACACACACACACACACACACACACACACACACACACACACACACACACACACACACAATTTAAAAGAAATTATAAAAATATGTTCGCATTAAACCAACAAGTTTTCCCTGATTTCCCATCTCACAAAACAATGTTCTCCACCGGTGGTTTCCAGTTAGACAAGACTCGCGGACCTCATTCTTTTCTCTAAGCTCTGCAACGGACACCAAACTTTTTTTTGTATTTTTAATATTCATGTAAAAAAAAAAAAAAAACGTAAATTTAGTTTCTAATTGCAAAACAAGACAGTTTCGTTTTTTCCCCCTAAATGATATCATCGACCCCATATGTTCCGCTTATCTGTGGGGAGTCCACAATGCACCAAATGAGAACCATTGTTCTACAGAACGACAGCTTGGTTATCGGCAGTACAACATCTTTGCTTTGTGTTTGCAACAGCGGCCCAGCTGATGGCGGGGATGGACTTCACAGCGGACCCTTGCGATGACTTCTTCCAGTTCGCCTGCGGCCAGTGGAACAAGAAACACATCATCCCTGAAGACAAACCCACCTACAACACGTTTGATAAGCTTCACGAAGAACTGCAGGTGATCATGCGAGGTTAGTAGGTGCAGCTGAAACTTCTCTTAGTTAATTTTCACCTGGTGATATTGAACTAGAGTTACCAGCTCGACAGAGAAGGTGTGTCAGTGAAATGAATGGACGCCAACGAAATCTGCAGCAGTGATTCTCCAGAGATCCGAAGAGTAAAGAAAAAGAAGAAAATGTGTTGAGAAAGGAGATCTTGAGTTTTAAGAAAGGAGGAATAGCTTTATGACAGTTGTTAGGATTGACCTCGTTACACCGGGTTTTGTTCCATAAAGATTGTTCTCTCCCAGCAGAATTACTCGAACACTATTAGCGTCGCCCAAGACACAAATCCCATAGCATCTACAGTGTTCCATAGAAAAGCTCCAAAACACCCGCACTTGTAAATAAAGAACATAATCTACAATAGAACCCACAGCCCCTAGAGTGTGAAACACACAGCTTAACCACTCTGCCATAGGGATCCGTATCTTAATCTTTGCACTTGTGATCTCTTTATTTCCTGTTCTCCAAGTATTTTCTTTCTATATCATTAGCTAGGTCAGAAAAAGTTAGGTTTAAATATGGCTGATGGACTGGCCGACCATTTAGGTTTTGGCATGTTGTTTGCTTCTGTCTTTGCTTTATTGTTGCATTTTGCCCGGTATGCAGACTGACAGTACAGTTCTGTCACCTGGCTATTGAGCTGAGTGCATGGAGCGACACTGTGAGCTGCGAATTTAACGTGGATTGCTTTTTTGACTGTCCCCAAAGGGTTTTCTGATGTGAAAATGGCAAGTGGCCTGTTCCCACAGATCTGGCACACGCTATTTCATTCAGCCTTTTCTGATCTTTGTAACTAATGCTTTCAGCAGCGTCGATGAACTGCAATTCTAGTAGTGTACTGTTTTTGTTGACACTTCTAGCAGCTTCTTTATGCATTTAAGGTACCTGTTTGCTGTTGGTTATGCAGAGACTGTGGCTCGTTTCCATTTCTTTTACAAGGTGCAGTGAATGGCATTCTGTGTTGTTTCCCATAGCACAGGTACGAAGATACGTTGGGGCGACCTGTTGTTGTGACGCTGTAACTGCGACTAACTGACTTACCAACTAACTACATTAGACACTCCTTCTTTCTGATCAGATCTACTAGAGCAGCCAAGGACAGAACAAGACAGCCAGGCTACGCTCAAGGCAAAGATCCTGTATAAATCCTGCATGAACGTTTGTAAGTAGCTCCTTTTTTTTTAGTCTACGTGGCATTGGTAATCATGTAGATCCAGATCCCTCTGTCTCGTGTCCAGTAAATTATTTCTGATACAGACGTTCGTCCAAGCCATGGGTATTTGTTGTCAGGTCTGTCACAGCTTTCAGTCTCTTGTTCATACTGAGAAATCAGCATCAACCATTCTTCACAAATCTCAATTTGAAGGAAAAATATAAACCAGAATAATAAGTGTATCAGCAAGCTTCACAATGTAACAAACAATATATGAACGTTGCGGCTATGGAGCTTTCATCAGCACATACATAAATTAGACAATACTACACAAATACACAAAACCACTTATCTTCGTATCTAGAAGCAGCCAGGACGATGCCTAGACAATAGACTAGCGGGACACATGGGAACGGGAAAATAAATATTCCAGCGAAAGCCAGGGGCCGTAACTCAAGGATAATATGAATCTGTGTAGGCAGTTCAGTCCTCTAGGATTTAGAATGAAGCTGTGTTGGCAGTTTAATCCACTTGGCCCCAGAGTTCCTAAAGTGTATATACATCTCAGTCTGGGACAGAGGTTTCGGTGTTTGCATTTGGTTCAGTATGTGTTCGCAGCAGAGAGCTGTCATGTAAAAGAAATGTGCAGTATTTCCAGGCTTCTAATATTTTCTTTTCTTTTATTTCAACTCCACATGGTACACCCCGTCTCCTAACCAGTTCCTCCTTATTAAGATCATTATTCTATTTTTGTCACTTTTTTCTTTCTCTTTTTTCTCCTCTTTCTCCTCTTCTTTTTCTTCTTCCTTCACTTATCTAATTCAATTGTTTGGTGCGGAGTAGAAGATGTAAACGTCCCCTATGTACTTTTCCTGTGGTACTTTATATAAATCATCTTTTCTCTGGGGTTCTTTTTGATACTGTCATTCCATGTTTTGCATGGTTTTTCCTTGCTCAGAGCTGACTATGTTTCTTAAAAATATGGCTCTCAGTGGTAGTTGGTACCAGGGTATTCTGTCAGATGAGCAAATTGTTTAATATGGTGTTTTTATTATTGAATTCTATTTTTGGAATTAGTCTTAGTTCACTAGTTACTTCATTGAGAATTCTATATTTTTAGTACTTTAACAGCTGTTTAAAAAATCATCTAACCTCTGTTTTTACAATTCTAATTGATGGCATAACTGAATCGTCATCATCATATCAGTACCATCATCATGATCCTTGTCATCATTATCGTCATCCTCATCATCACTCAGTAGGTACTTTACAGAACGTCACTCTGGTCTTGTCCTGTCTGAAAGTCTTTCTCTCTCTAGCCAATAATCCAGGCATAAGTGCTTTTATAGCCAATAAGTTGTTAGTGTCTTGTGTCCACCTTTGCGGAAGTATTCCGTATTCTAGAAACTACACACTCCACCATGAGGTTTAACATGACCACGATACTCCAGCTTTCAGGAGAGCATGCTGTTTGTGACCCAGGTCTCCTCGATGTTCAGATCATGGAGGATGTCGTTGTTTTCAACAATTGAATCGTAATTGAACACACAAATGAAAAAATATCGTTGGCACCTTTGCGACTATTACAGTCGATGATTGTGATACTGTACTATGGTGAGACACAGGCAATCACAGCCATTGGTACTGAGTTATTAGGGCAAGAAAAAAGTGCCTCATCTTCCTAGGCGAGCGTTTAGAGGGTACCTCAGAGACCACGTGTTGCACATGCAGCATGAGACCGCACTAGGTCTACCTTGTTTACTCCAATGGAAAGATAGTCCCGATATATTTAAAATGAAGAAGCTGCCAGATCAGGAGAGCAGTGTTATGTCTGTCTCTCTGAGCTGTGTTCGAAAACCAGCTGCCAGCCAAAGCTAAGTTCCTAGTCTGCCTTGCCAAAGCCTTTTGCTTTTTATCTTCCTGGGATAAAGCTAGAATCCACGGCATCGACGGAGAACATGCAGCAATGTTACACGAAATCTCAGTCTCGTAGTCAATATATGAGAATATTATAATAGCAACGTTATTTTAGAGATTTAAAGATTAAAAAACAAAGATTAAATTATCGGTTGATAACGATCTGTACTAATGATTAGAATTCCATGATGCAAGAAAATTAACGCCAATAATTTCAAATACATTGAAATGTGATGGAAACTTATTAATGCAAACTTTGGAGGGGATTACTTTGATTGCAATTAAAAAAAAAAATAGAAAGAATTGACTTTATTTAATGGTATATCTTCATTTGATTCTCCAGCGCAGATTGAAGCTATAGGAGACACACCACTCCGTGCTGTCATCGGTGACTTGGGAGGATGGCCAGTTTTAGACAGCCATTGGCCAAGTGAGCAGTTTGTTCTAGAAGATGTATTGGCTAAGATGCGTGGAAAGTACAGCTCCCCGCTGTTGCTTGAGTGCGCCGTTAGTGCGGATGATAAGAATTCATCAGTATATATAATTCAGGTATTTATTATTATTAATTTTTTTAAACTGTGGATGATAAATATACATTTATGTGATCGATAGTTCCCTTGTATTGTGTTGAGACGAATTATGTACGGATTCTATTATTGTTGGTTCAACCTGTATGACAGACATGGCTAATGAAGCTTTGATTAGTCTATCCAACCAGTTCTCAAACTTTTATCGCTGGGGTATCCTTGTCATGAAAAAGTGGTTTGAATGCTTAGGAAACAACAACAACACAACAACAACAACAACAAATAGTAGTGCACATTTAATGTTCAGTTGTCTTTAATGCAGCAGATGAAACACTTTGGATTAATTTTTTATTATTTGCTTTATGTATACGGGAAGTTAAGTTAATTTTACCCTCAAATCACTTGACTCGGAAAGTTTGTTTCCGCATCTGTTTTTTATGTAAGCGTACGCTGAGATGGAACTTTTAGCCTTGCCAATAGCATTGTCTTCTGAACACACCTGCAGCGGTGGTTTCTTCTTGGCTTCCTTCACGGTATTTCTGTTTTCAACTACTGTCTTCGCTGATTTCAAGCAGATTTTGAAAAATTCTTGATTACTGCCGTGGCACCCCTGGCATACGCTCGCGGCACCCCTGGGTGTCGCGCCACACCAGTTTGGGAACCTGCCTATCCTGTCGGCGTCTTTGGTTTTGGCGTTGCGAACATTCTTCGTAATGCCGGGTGCGGACGATTTGTCTTGCTATGGTTTTGACAGAGGTACTGAGAGCTGAACTTCGAGACCAATGGCAAACTACTGAACGTCAAATTTGCCTAGACAAACCAGAACAGCCAAAAAAAAAAAATTGTTCGGGTTGGTTCTTCAATGTCCTGTAAAAGAAACACAACTTGAGTCTACCTTGCGTCTTAGTACAATTGTTCTGAAATTCTGGTGTTTCTCTCTTTCGTTCTTTCTGTAGTTTTTTCCTACTTAGACCTGATTGCGGCTCACCATGTTTGACATTTACACACACACAGACACAAAATGTATATTCAAAGAACGTTGCTCTTGCCTTCTTCTCATGATGTTTCGTAAACGTACAATTGTCTATAGTTCCAGACACTGTTGTTACAGCTTGTTTTGGTGAACCGTACAATAGATATAGGCCTAATTCAACATTTTCAGCTAAGTTTTGAGGCTGACCTCGCTGCCAGGTTGAAATCTACGCCACAATTTACGGTAGATCCAACAAGTGTCCTTTGTACAAAATAAAATATATTAATGAATAGATGAATCAAAAACTGCAGCGAGGCACAGTCTTCATTTGTAGGTGACAGTTTGTATTCCAGGCATGGCAACTACAGCTTTCGATTTTTATATTGTCTAGTCTGATCATTCTACTTTATTCTATGAGTGGCTATCAATATACGTCTTTTCTGTTGTGCTTTTAAAAGAATTTACTGGTCTGTATCGTTGAAGTCTCTTTGTCTAATCACTTCAGTCTGGTACTTGTGCCCGGGGGATGCTCGGTCGTGGGTTCAGAGCAACATCAAGACAAATTTGTGTATACTTGACCTGGGCATAAAGGTCGACCCAACCTCAACTGGATACAGGAAAAACTCACAGAAAGTAAAGGCAACCAATATGACACCACGACCTGACGAGTACCTGCACAATGGTCAATGAAGATATGTGTCTAGCACTATATGTCTAAGGTTCGAACCGCTGTGGTTTAACGGCTAGACGTTCATCTGCGGATCGGAAGGTTGTCGGTTCGGCTCCTGATAGAGCCAGGCATTTTTTTCACACACACAAAAATAGACCTTGGCTGTCAGGTTTGAGTGGGTACCAGGTGCAGTCATGGGAAGTAAAGGCTGCCAGGTTTGAGTGGGTACCAGGTGCAGTCCTGGGAAGTAAAGGCTGCCAGGTTTGAGTGGGCACCAGGTGCAGTCCTGGGAAGTAAAGGCTGCCAGGTTTGAGTGGGTACCAGGTGCAGTCCTGGGAAGTAAAGGCTGCCAAGTTTAAGTTGGTACCAGGTGCAGTCCTGGGAAGTAAAGGCTGCCAGGTTTGAGTGGGTAGCAGGTGCAGTCCTGGGAAGTAAAGGCTGCCAGGTTTGAGTGGGCACTGGGTGCAGTCCTGGGAAGTAAAGGCTGCCAGGTTTTAGTGGGTACCAGGTGCAGTCCTGGGAAGTAAAGGCTGCCAGTGTAATGTTGACCACATCACCCGCCTAGTACCGGTTGGTGTATAAAATATATGTCCAGCCCTATATGCCCTATATGCATGAAGGCATGGGACAGTGACCTTCACTATACGTCTAAAAGAGGCACATATTTTGGTTTGTAGACGCATACATGGCGGCTTACAATTCTTTGGTTCGAACCTGCATAGGGTCCGATTTTGATTAAAAATGACATTTGCTCCCAAACCGACCCAGCCTAAACTAGGTACCGGGTTATGTCCTGGGAAAAAAAGGCAGCCGGCAGGATGTGGACTATAGCACTCAGCAGGTACCGATTGGTCTTTAATAAACGAGTCTGGCATAAAAGAAATCCTTTACTTTAAATGTGTCCAATGTGCCAATGATGGGAAAAGCACCCTTTGCTCACTCTACTACAGAATATGAGAACTTACACCGAAAAGATATACATAATACCAATAAGAAGAAAGAGGCAGTAAGTAAATATAGAGGCAGAGTGCAAAGGTCATAAAGGGGTTTAAACAACTGGGTTCAACATTCACCGACGATTGGAAACTGGATAAAGAAATAAACATCAGATGCAGTCAAGTAAACCAAGTACTGGGACAGCTAGCCCATCTGTAGTATTTAGCAGGGCACATGATGACATTGACCACTGATATACTGCTTACAGTGTTTTGAGCTTCTGATGTGCACACATATACTTCTGCACACTGCTATGGAGATTGTACACACAGATGAAATCCTTCTTCTGTGATCTCTTTCCAATGTAGGAAATAACTACAGATTTGCGATGGCTGGAGAGTATTACGGCCCGACATGTAAATATAACTGACTCGTACAGGCGAATTTGGAAAATAGGACTCAGTGCAGTTTGCATCGCTTGAAACGGTTTAGATAAGAAGCATATGGTTGATTTCCCCCAAAGATATTTAGGTGTGCGTAGTAATGAGTAGGCTGATAGGTTAACTGCTGCTGCACTACTGGCCGGTGAGCTACTTTATGATAGAGTAGACGTGGTGACGTCCTAGTGGGATCAAACAAACACTGTAACAAAACAGAAAGAGCATTCATATCTCGATAGAATGATTCAGATGGCAGTAAGCAAAGGGTCAGGACGAACACTTAGGAAAACGAGGCAACAGTAGCGAGGCTGCAATTGGCACTGTCATAATAAAAAGTCTTCATCGGTTGCTGAAAAGGGGGACGGGGTGCTCGTGGGATTTTTCCAGAGTGTAGTGAAGTCAAAGAAGACAGGAACAAACATTAGGGAATCTTTCAAAGTTATGGTGTGAACACGAATCTAATAAACATATGGAAAGTTTGTATAACAACAGTCAATGTAATGTTAGAAAAAGTGGAGGATGCTCAGAGCTATTCACTATAACATGTAGAGTGCTGCGGGGTTGTGTCCTATCTTCTCTACTGTTCATTACATTGATAACATCTGTAAAGAAACAAAGGACTACAATACACCCAGGAGAAGAAGACACAACACCAGTTTCATAAAAACTACTACTATTTGCAAACATCTACCACTAATTGCTACTTCAGAACAGAACTGCAAGAATATTTAAATGATTTAAACCACATTTGCAAAAAGCTAAACACGAAAATTACCGCCAACAATATAGAAATCATGACCATAGCTAAAGTAGACAAAACAATAAATACCCAGCATACAAAACTCTCTCTGAAATAACCCAAGAACTTCGAATATTTAGAAAGCATAAAATAATTAGCTGGAAAGACCGAAGATGAGATCGATAACAAATGTTACCGAGCAAACCGACTCACTGGGCAAATGCCTCCAATTCTAAGAAACAAACATTGTGCCGGTAGAAACCAAAAGAGCACTCTCTGATACAATCACCTTGCCAAGCCAGTGCTGTCAGTGCCAGACCTGGACAGTGACAGGAAAAAAAAAGAGAAATAACAACTGAAATGAGATTCACACGAAGGGTCTAATTATAACAGTAGCTGCCCGGCTCTCTAGCCTAGTTGGCTAAACCGGATTGCGCGGTGACCGGGGGACGAACTCCTTATGGTCCGGGTTCACTCCCAGGGGTAGGCAGAAAAGCCACATTTCTCCCAGATTTACGGTATTTACAATGGAATCAATGCCGAAAGGTTGCGATATCCATAATACCGAGCCTAAGGGTTAACAACTCATGGCTTCTGGATACTAAAACAAACAAACAAACAACATACCGGTAGCAGATCAGAAATGATGAAATCCAAAGGAGAATGTGGGTAGTGGCAGCTCTGGATTTCATTAGAAGACAACAGAAGAAATGGTTTAGCCATATAGCGCAGATGTCATCAAACAGTATACCACAGCAAGCAATGAGGTACAGACCAGGCGGGAGGCGAAGACGAGGCCGACCATGCCAACGATGCACTGATGGAGTAACAGATCCCCTGTGAGTCTCCATTTACTCAGCACATAAACGGGCTTTGTCCCTGTAAATTATACGTCATCTAGGTACAAGATGAGATAAAGGTAATTCAGTTCTTGATTAATTTATTCAATAATGTATAATTTGTCAGTGTGCAAGGACACAGTAATTGTGGGGCACAAATCAACCTGCCATAGAAGTCAGCTTCACGGTGGTTAGCTCAGCATTCTGGGTTAGCACTATACTTATTGTATACGGGACCTTTAAATATACGATTGACTATGTGTATCTCAAACGTAGGTCTATCGGTAAATAATGTGGCTGCAATATGTATATTAGTTTTTACGTTAATACGCCAAATACAGTGGTACCTGGGTGTTCATCCTGTTTATGACATGAAAATATTGTCTTGGTATTCCACCTTTGTTTGGCACACGACTCGCGTGCTAGAACTTGTACGAGTCACGATGAGTCATGAAACCGCGTGTTACCCTGGTTTACCACCCACATTAATTAAGGGAATGGTTGCCTAATATACAGATGTCAACAACTTTACAGAGAGAAACCGCTCCAACAAAGCCCAAACAAGCCGTCATAGCATTGTTTGGAATGACCAGACAATGCCACATTCCGAACAATTCCGAGAAGACGACAGTAGCAAAGTTCTTTGAACATATTTTTTAGTAAATGTCAAACATGATTAGCAAACCAAGTCCAAGTAGGGAAAAGAGACAGAACAAAAAAAAAAAAAAAAGAGAAAAACAAACACCAGAATTTTAGATTCCTAAAGTTGTTTTTTGGAAGAGGACTCCACTTTAAAACAATAACATCTCAAACTTTTCCGTCCTTCTAAACACCATCTTAGTAAGTAATCGCCTGTCTCTCCTCAGCAAGGTCAAGTCAGGCTACCTTTTCATGTATTTCTTAACTGTTTTGTATGGATATATTTTAGCATGAAGCAGTGTTGACATTATTGTATTTGATGCAACCCCGTAAACGTAAAAATATGCCAATAACGGTAGAAATCTGTTTTACATGGAATTAATCATTCTTCCTTTATTTCTCATGGAGGCATTCGTTTGGTATACGTCTAAGAATCTGAGAGTAATTATGAGAAAAATAAGAAACAAGATTACACCATAAATTACTGAAGAAAATTGAAGAAATAAAAATACAAACTATTCCATATACATCCTCAGGACTCTTTCGGAAAGAGCTACAGACTTTTAAAAACAAAGTGACCTTTATTTATGCTTCATTGACAGTACTAAAGCATTTGATTGTGTAACATATGAAGAAATAATAAAACTGCTGGAAAAATTAAAAATTGTTGGAAAATTTTTAGGAATTATAAAGAACAAAATACTGGCAGCAAACACCATCTGTAAGAATTATAAACCATTTAGGAACATTTCAGAGCATAAAGATGGAAGTACGACAAGGATGTGTACTATCACCTCATTTGTTTGCATGAAACAGTGAATGTATAATGAGCTCTACAGTGCTTTTGCCAGGATTTGTTATTGGTGATAATAAGATAAACAACCTACGTTATGCTAATGACACCGCCTTGATAGCGACAAGTCAGAAAGAACTACAGGAATTAACAGATATGGTGTCGGTAGAAAGTGATAGAACGGGCCTTCAAATGAGTGTGAATAATGGAAATACAGAAGTTATGGTGATTTCCAAGCAAAGAATATTGCCTAAATTTATAATAAATATCAAAGCTTTATCTCAATTTAATTATCTAGGCACTTGAATAACTTCCGATGGAAGATGTATCACACAATTAAAGAACAGAACAGGACAGGCCAAAACTGCATTTTTTTAAATGGAGAACATTTTGTGCAATAAATCCATGCCATAGGAGGTTGGGAAAAAAAGAATTCTCGTATGTTATATAGAGCCAGTTTTAATATGCGGCTGTGAAATCTGGAAAATTAATAACCAGCCGAACAATATCTTGAGGCCTCAGAGATGTGGTTTTACAGAAAAATCCTTAGAATTCATTGGATAGCTAAGAAGAGCAACATTGATGTTTTGAAAGAGGTGAGTTCTCGAGGACAACTTATCACAAACATCAGAAGTAGGCAGTCATCATTCTGTCAAGGTTCTGTTATGAGATGAGGGAAACTGGAATATGTTGTGTCCACTGGAGACGTTTGTAGAAAGAGAGACATGGGAAGTCAGAGCAAGAAGATTTTTTTGTCATGACACGAACTGATGCACGCAGTTGTGGGTCGTAGATTGTAGAGAGGTGTTATGGCCCACGCCGATCGAAAGACACTCAATGATGATGATGATAACCGTAGTACCACTGTATGCACACCAAAGACATGTTTTAGTAGGATATATTTGTGAAGGTTTTCTGGACGGTATCGAAGTGATGTAAAGCGACTGTTAGGGAAACTGTTCCATTTGTTTCGACTAGGTAGTAACGAATTGCGATTTATTCGTGTCATGTAAGTCGACCTGGTTGTAAGACAGTGCTGGAAAAACTTGACTTACACTGCAGTTTATGTTATCTCAACTGAGGAAATGGCATTTTGACCTACGTGAACCTAGAAAATGGGATTCAAATATAATTCAGTCTAGAAATTGAAATTTCAATTTAATTCATTTCATATTTTGATGTAAATCATATTCATTTAAGGAAATATTATTTTAAGAAAAAAATTGACGGATATGTGAGTCATCTAATTCAGCCCAGAAAATGGGAATCACACCTAATTCAAAACACAAGATGGGAAGCCTATCTAATTCAATACACAACTCCATTCAGAAACAACATTAAAACCTAATGCAGTGTAAAGATTGTTCTTACATCTGATTTAATGCCCTCTATATTTCAGATGGAGCAGGGGAGTTTGGGAATGCCTAGCAGGGAATATTATATGTTGAAGGATCATGCCATACACATGCAGGCATACAGGTAGACCGCTAAATGTACGAGTGAATGAATAAATAGAGACGTTGACTGCACACACATGCAGGTTCATAGGCAAACAGTCAATTGTTTCACTGCTATAAACATTCAGGCTTACACGTAGACATGATTCTTTTACTGCTGTACACATGCAGATTTACAGGTAGACACAATTCCTACTGCCATACATATGTAAGAGGCTTACATGTAAACAGTTGATTGTTTCACTACCATTTACATGCTGGTTTACAAGTAGACAGTTGATTGTTTCACTGCCATTCACATGCTGGTTTACAAGTAGACAGTTGATTGTTTCACTGCCATTCACATGCTGGTTTACAAGTAAACAGTTGATTGTTTCACTACCATTCAAATGCTGGTTTACAAGTAGACTGTTGATTGTTTCACTACACTACACATGCTAGTTTACAAGTAGACTGTTGATTGCTTCACTACACTACACATGCTAGTTTACAAGTAGACTGTTGATTGTTTCACTACCATACACTTGCTAGTTTACAAGTAGACTGTTGATTGTTTCACTACCATACACTTGCTAGTTTACAAGTAGACAGTTGTTTGTTTCACTACCATTCACATGCTGGTTTACAAGTAAACAGTTGATTGTTTCACTGCCATTCACATGCTGGTTTACAAGTAAACAGTTGATTGTTTAATTACCATACACATGCTGGTTTACAAGTAAACAGTTGATTTTTTAATTACCATACACATGCTAGTTTACAAGTAAACAGTTCATTGTTTAATTACCATACACATGCTGGTTTACAAGTAAACAGTTGATTGTTTAATTACTATACACATGCTGGTTTACAAGTAAACAGTTGATTGTTTAATTACCATAAACATGCTGGTTTACAAGTAAACAGTTGATTGTTTAATTACCATAAACATGCTGGTTTACAAGTAAACAGTTGATTGTTTAATTACCATACACATGCTGGTTTACAAGTAAACAGTTGATTGTTTAATTACCATAAACATGCTGGTTTACAAGTAAACAGTTGATTGTTTAATTACCATACACATGCTGGTTTACAAGTAAACAGTTGATTGTTTAATTATCATACACATGCTGGTTTACAAGTAAACAGTTGATTGTTTCACTACACTACACATGCTGGTTTACAAGTAAACAGTTGATTGTTTAATTATCATACACATGCTGGTTTACAAGTAAACAGTTGATTGTTTCACTACCATACACATGCTGGTTTACAAGTAGACAGTTGATTGTTTCACTGCAAAACACATTGCACTCTTAAAAGTAGAAACCTGATTGTTTCATTGCAATATAGAATGTAGGTTTAAAAGTAGAAAGCCGATTGTTTCATTGCAATACAGATTGTAGGTTTAAAAGTAAAAAGCCGATTGCTTCTCTGCAACACACATTGAAGGTTTACAGGTATACATTTGATTGTCTCTTTGCCATACACATGTAGGCTTACAGGTAGACAGTTGATTGGTTGCCTGTCATACACATGTAGGTTTTCAGGTAGATAGACAGTTGATCATTTCACTGCCATACACATGTAAGCTTACAGGTAGACAGTTGATAATTTCACTGCCATACACATGTAGGTTTACATGTAGACAATTGATTATTTCACTGCCATACACATGTAGGCTTACAGGTAGACAGTTAATTGGTTGCCTGTCATTCACATGTAGGCTTTCAGGTAGACAGTTGATTGGTTGCCTCCCATACACATGTAGGCTTTCAGGTAGACAGTTGATTGGTTACCTGCCATGCACATGTAGGCTTTCAGGTAGACAGTTGATTGGTTGCCTGCCATACACATGTAGGCTTACATGTAGACAGTTGATTTTTTCACTTCCATACACATGTAGGCCTACAGGTAGACAGTTGATTATTGTACTGCCATACACATGTAGGCTTACAGGTAGACAGCGTATTATTTCACTGCCATACACATGTAGGCTTACAGGTAGAAAGTTGATTATTTTACTGCCATTCACATGTAGGCTTATATGTAGAGAGTTGATTATTTCACTGCCGTACACATTTAGGCTTTCAGGTAGAAAGTGTTAATCCCACATGTCTGGAGAGCTGCAGTAATGTAGCGACCAGAAGATTTCCTGTCGGCCTCAAATTAACATCTAGGCATATATTTTCTTTGCTCCCATTGTGACCCAGACTAAATGAGTACCAGGTAATGTCATAGAAAGTAAAGGTGGCTGGTCTGAAGGTGATCACATCACCCATTAACTACCAGTCTGACTGCAACTTCATTGATTTTTGCTGTGTACACTGCTGTTCATATCTGAAATGTAAGGTCTTCCACAACTTATGCAACTTCAACATTAAACTTTGGAACAGATCCCGCTAGCAAAAAGAACCTATCCAGTGAATTAGTCGGCAAGTGTGTGACCTAGAGGATATGAAATGATATTACTGGACACACATACACGGAAAAACTGTTCAAAAAATGCTCACAGCCAATCATTGCTCTATCTCTAGCCTTTTCTCTGCAGGTAACAACTCGATAGTTCTGTCATTACTTTGACTACATTTAATTTGTTTGCATATCTTGAGACTTTGATTTCTGCAATTAGCATCTCTATATACGAGAAACTCAGGATTGCAGACCTAATGCTAACTCAGCAAAAACTGGCAAATGAAGGCAGTAATTGGTAGTTTTTGCCAGTTTAACATTTCGATAGTTGTAACACTTTTGTGACTTACTTGAATGTGTTTATTTCTGCAGCCGTTTTATGAAAGACGTGGTCAAACTACTGGGGGCAGATGGACCTGACGTGCAGACCCAGCTGGACAATGTGCTCAACTTCGAGATTTTGTTAGCAAATGTAACGTTCTTATTTACTAGCAATTTCATTTCTGTATGTCACCTGATAATGTAACCTGGCAGCTGTGTATGTGAACTGTCCTTTCATATGAGTGGTTGCGATTCGGTTTTCATGGCTCATTAAATGTTTAGGTTATTTCTACTTATTTCTCTTCTTTTCGTTCGTCTAAGTGACGTAATTGCGTTGTGCCTGTTTACAGCAAAGCTGCGATATTTGCACCTTTCGGCCTACACTTCCCACGATGAAGGTTTACAAAGGATGGACGGAGACAGGACTGCACCACGAAACACCGCCCTTGGAAGAATTTGCTCGTCTAAGCCGCTAGCAAATCTCTTAGTCTACGGCTCAGCAGTTTAGTAGTTATTTCACTCGACAGACGTTTTAACTGAGTCATATATTCGGCTAGCCGGCTTTACTCATGTGTCAAATTAGTTTTGATACACGTTTTCACCCAAGCATTAGGGGTGGGCTGATAAGAGGCAAAGGATTCATGGGCACTGCATCTCTGGCAACCACAACTCCGAAATCTCCTGCCGGCTGGGTTGCTGCTCATTTGAGCCATTATCCGTGGCACGACAGGGACGTGTGCAAGAGACTTTCATGAGAATTCGTAAAACCAGCCTAAAGCCGGCTTGCACCCAAGGTGAGGTACGGAGCAACTCCTCATACACATCACCTTAACTTTCTCTTCCACCTGAGATCGAAATCCCTGTGCCACACGCATGTTATTTGAGTCGGTGTATTCCAGTTATATTAATGTTGACGTTTTTTTTCAATATATGAGACTTGTCATTTAAATCTCATATTAGTATATTTAAACTAACGACAGAATAATGTGCCAGATTTGGTAGTAATGTATGTGACTGGATAATAATACGTATGATTTGTAGCCATTTAGCTGAATGGATATAATGTGATGTTAGTTTATGTGAATGAATAGTGAAGTGTATGATTAATTTGTATTTTATGTGAATAGAATATAATATTGTGTCGTAATCTGTGTAAAAGGAAAAAATGCAAATGATATGAAAGTAATTTATATAAATGTATAGTAATATGTTTGAACTGAAGGACATAAGGTGAAGGGATAGTAATAAATGTGAGTTGATGGTAATTTACATGATTGGATTGTAATGCGTTTGATGTAATGGGTATTTAAGTGATGGATAGTAATTCGTGTCATAGGATAGAACTAAATGCGATTTGAATGGTGTTGTATATATCAGACAGGTATGTTTCTGGCTTGATTATGTCTGTGACTTACTTGTAATATGTAAGGCATGATGGCATTGTCTGTGTCATGTTAGCAATATTGGTGACTTGGTAGTAATATCTGTGTCATGTTAGCAATATTTGTGACTTGGCAGTAACGTCTGTGTCATGTTAGGAATTTTTGTGACTTGGTAGTAATGTCTGTGTCATGTTAGCAATATTTGTGACTTGGTAGTAATGTCTGTGTCACGTTAGCAATATTTGTGACTTGGTAATAATGTCTGTGTCATGTTAGCAATATTTGTGACTTGGTAGTAATATCTGTATCATGTTGGCAATATTTGTGACTTGGCAGTAATGTCTGTGATGTTAGCAATATTTGTGACTTGGTAGTAATGTCTGTGTCATGTTAGCAATATTTGTGACTTGGTAATAATGTCTGTGTCATGTTAGCAATATGTGTGACTTGGTAGTAATATCTGTGTCATGTTGGCAATATTTGTGACTTGGCAGTAATGTCTGTGATGTTAGCAATATTTGTGACTTGGTAGTAATGTCTGTGTCATGTTAGCAATATTTGTGACTTGGTAGTAATGTCAGTGTCATGTTAGCAATATTTGTGACTTGGTAGTAATATCTGTGTCATGTTAGCAATATTTGTGACTTGGTAGTAATGTCTGTGTCATGTTAGCAATATTTGTGACTTGGTAGTATAGTCTGTGTCATGACAGTAATAATTGTGACATGATTGTAAGATATGTTATATTATAGTAAAGTGGTGACATGATAAAAATGTGTGTGACATCATAGTAATGTTTGTGGCGTGATAGTGACGTGTTTGGCTTGATAGTAATGTGTGTGGTATGACTGTAGTATGTGTGGCATGATAGTAATGTGTGTGGTATGACTGTAGTATGTGTGGCTTGATAGTAATGTGTTTGGTATGACTGTAGTATGTGTGGCATGATAGTAATGTGTGTGGTATGACTGTAGTATGCGTGGCTTGATAGTAATGTGTGTGGTATGACTGTAGTATGTGTGGCATGATAGTAATGTGTGTGGTATGACTGTAGTATGTGTGGCATGATAGTAATGTGTGTGGTATGACTGTAGTATGTGTGGCATGATAGTAATGTGTGTGGTATGATAGTAATATGTGTGGTATGGCTTTAGTATGTGTGGCATGATAGTAATGTGTGTGGTATGACTGTAGTATGTGTGGCATTATAGTAATGTGTGTGGTATGACTGTAGTAAGTGTGGCATGATAGTAATGTGTGTGGCCTGACTGTAGTAAGTGTCGCATGATAGTAATATGTGTGGTATGACTGTAGTAAGTGTGGCATGATAGTAATGTGTGTGGCATGACTGTAGTATGTGTGGCATGATAGCGATGTGAATGACAATGATCGAAACTACCGAATATTAAAATTGCTCAGTAAAATCAGTCAGTAAAAGTTTTGGGCTGGCCTCTTTAAAAGTATATACATTCATTGACCTGTCACAAGTCACATAGAGCTCGCAGTGTATTCCTCCACTCGGTTCTATGTGTGCAACCAGTTTCCTATCAAAGATGGATTCTTGTCTTTTGGATCTTTGCTCGCCTTCATCAACGTTCGTTTGTTTTGAGGTTTCTTTTTGGGGGTCCTGGCTTTTTGAATCCATAAATTTCCCATTTTAATACCTGGTTGATGATTCTTTGTTGGCTTCTTCTCACGATGCGTGCGGTATAGCGCCATCTTTTCTGTCTTCTTACAGTTGATACTTGTAGTTGCTTATCTGTCTTCTTACAGTTAATACTTGTAGTTGCTCAGAGATTTCTCTTATTTCTTCACCCGTTTTAAATTCTTCCCATTCCTCCCACCACCCCCCACCCCTTCATTTTCTTCAGGCGTTTATTTTCAAATGCATTTAACTTTTGTTCATTGTCTCTAGTGGATCCCCAACTTTCACTGACATGTGTTGAAACTGAAATAACATTAGAACTCAAATCAGTTTAGAGTTCCAAATTTTGTTCAGGATAGTAAACGCTGCTGATGCCTTGCCAGTGTCATAAGTGATGATTTGATATTTTACTATCACTATCAAATTTACTGTCTAAGTAAGTAAATTGATCTCTTACTTCAATTACTTTTGTCTCTACTATTACATCTGCTTGACCTGTTGTTGGTGTCTTTAATACATTTGTGTTTTCATAGCTTATTTTCAGTCCAACCTTTGATGTTATTGTTGCTAAATCATCTGTTAATTTTTTTTTTTTACATGTCACTGCTGTTTTTACTTATAAGAACAATAGAATTAGCAAAATCGTGACCTTCCTACTGCGTGTTCACCACCCAGTCAGTATACACCTTATTTTGTTTATTCTATTGTTGTGAGAAAGCATCAAATACACCTTCACTGTATTGTAGAATAAAACATGCTTTTGTGTGTATGTTAACGGCAGATCACCCTTCCCTCTGAGGATATCCAGGATACAGGCGCTCTCTACAACAAAATGACAGTCCGAGAAATCCAGGCTCTGATCCCAAAGGTGACTACTGTCTTTTTCAACACTGTCTGATAGATCTTGCCATGTCGTACTGTTATTCTGTCATGAGTACCTTCAAGAGATTCTATTCACTGACATCAAATTAGTGCTTTTGAAGCCGTAATAGTAATTTACAAAATGATAACCTGGTCAACTCATCTTGAAATGGGATGGAGTTTCGATATTGGATATTTATGTCTTTCAAATTAAATTTTTGTTACTTTATATTACATAGCTTGTGTATTATATTTCATATATTTTAGAGTATTGAATATTTAGTTTAACATATTTGTGAGGCTTCTGAAGTGTTTTCACTAGTGATAATTGTCACACACAAAAACAAAATAAAAACAAAAACAAAAAACAAAAAAACATGGGCATTCGCCAATTTCAAATGGCTTTTGAGATGGATAGGCTTATATTTTTGCAATAATCAGCTGCACAGTCCATACATCTCTTCGTTGGTCATCTTTTTGCCCTCCACCCAGGTGTTCTCCTCTGGAATAGATAGAACATAAATAGGTTGGCCTGCTTGTATTCTTACTAAATGGCTTCCCTTCGTTCTCTCTCTTTTATTGCAATCTGGATACTGTCTTCTTCCAGTCATACCGTCATCATGTTGGTTCTTGTGTTGTTTACCTTTTAAAAACAGCGCATTTCACATATATATATTATGATATACTACTTACGTCCTTTTCAGGACGTAATTTTTTCTTATTTGAAGCCCCACTCTGGCTTTTGCCAGGGGCCGCAATATAGGCAGGCCATTAATATGGCCAATTGTCTGAACGCGGTTTCTGGGACCTCTCCACGGTGATCCTCATCCGCATGGTGGCACTTTGTGTCATCGGGTGTTTATCGCTTGTGTGATGTCCTAGTGGGGTAGAAAGTCAGTCAGTCAGTCAGTCATATATATATTTTTTTTTTGCTGCGCTCTACTTATCATCATTATCATCAATTTCCACTGCTGTCGCAATGCGTTGTGGGAAGGAACAGTTTGCGATCCATTGCTAGATCGGCAGCAGTGGCTATTGTCATTCTGTGTCGATGTAGAAGCTCTTTAATGTCATCAGTTTGATCTTCTCCTAGGGCGGCCTCTTGATTTCACTTAGGATCTGTTCATGTGTAGCGCCTGCGTTGGTAGTTGTTCTAGCTGCATTCTTTCTGGATGGCCAAACTGTTTGATCTTCTGTTTCTCAATTCATTTTCTGAATGGTCTTTTTCATACAGTCTGCATGATAATAACATTTCTTACTTTGTCTCTGATGGTTAACTTGGCGACTTTTTTCAGGCATCTCAGTGCACAAGTCCCACTGATTTCCATATTTGTCCGATACGTATCGCGTAGAAATGAAGCTGGTGTTAATCATTTGCAGTTTTGCTAAAGGGAGCCTAGGTAGTGAAGTGGTTACACCCTCGCCGCTGACTCAATGGTCATGGGTTCAATTACGAATCAAGTCAGATTTTTTTCTTTATGAACCTAACCATTGTTGCAGGTCGACCCGGCCTTAGTTGAGTGCCAGGTAATGTCATCTAAAGTCAAGGCGGAAATCAACTGAGTATCGACTTATCTGTAAGAATATCATCTAGTATCATTTACTCGAACCAAACCTGGCATTTCAAAGAGCTATTTAATGGTTGTTTACTTCTTTTCCTGGAAGGGAGAAATAGTAATATGTGAATTATGGGGCCAGCTGATCCATCACGTAACTAGGACATGTACTATGTATTATATCTTAATTGTTTTTATCTCTTGCGAGTTTGATCAGCAGGACTAGCTGATATGACAGTTTGGAGAGTGGGACTAGCTGATATGACAGTTTGGAGAGTGGGACTAGCTGATATGACAGTTTGAAGAGTGGGACTAGCTGATATGACAGTTTGGAGAGTGGGACTAGCTGATATGACAGTTTGGAGAGTGGGACTAGCTGATATGACAGTTTGGAGAGTGGGACTAGCTGATATGACAGTTTGGAGAGTGGGACTAGCTGATATGACAGTTTGGAGATTGGGACTAGCTGATATGACAGTTTGGAGAGTGGGACTAGCTGATATGACAGTTTGGAGATTGGGACTAGCTGATATGACAGTTTGGAGATTGGGACTAGCTGATATGACAGTTTGGAGAGTGGGACTAGCTGATATGACAGTTTGCATAGTGGGACTAGCTGATATTGCAATTTGCTCAGTGGTGCTAGATGAAATGAAAAATATGTAAAATGTATTGAAACTCGTAGCTATTCTTGTTTGAACAGTGGTTCTAGCTGATAAATGATATGACCGAGAAATGACAATGTGTCGAACTCGTTACTATCTTTATCTCTCGCCAGTTTGATCTGCTGCGGTACCTGCGAGGATTTGCCTTAAATGACATCACAGAGGACGAGCCGATAGTGCTGTTTGCTACCGAGTACATCAAGAACCTTGCTGTCATTTTACAGAACACAGATAACAGGTGAGGAGCAAAGTCTGCTGCAGTTGTTAATTCCTCCATGGTGAACAGCCAGCTCGATTTCTTGTTTTATGTTTTTTTGACGGATCTACATCATGGCACACGGGTGTAACCTATAAGTGCTCCGTTTTACTTCTAACTCAATCCTGAGTCTAAAGAACCTCAGCGCAGTGCACGAACTCTTTTGGTTTATTTTGACTTCAAATATTTGTGAAACTCCAGGTTAAAAATTCCCAGCCTTCACCTTGCTGTAATTTTACAAAACACCGATAACAAGTGAGAAGGAAAGTGTGCAGCAGTTTTTGTCTATAGTGTGCACCAGTTTTTGTCTATAGTGTGCACCAGTTTTTGTCTATAGTGTGCACCAGTCTTTGTCTATAGTGTGCAACTAGCTTGTTGATGTCATACCCGAAGGAAGGGGATTACAATAGAGAAAAACTGCCGGGCATAGTGATGAAGATGGGCCTTGAATTTAATCAGACAGATTATTGTGGTAAATGATCTTCTTGAAGCCTGTGTGAATTATGAAATGTTTCCAGTGTGAGCTGGGATCCCATTTTAGAAGAACATTTAGACTAGGTCTACTGTCCCTTAAAAAGCATATGCTAAAAGTGGCTTTTTAAACGTATTAGCTAAAATTTGATATTTTTATTCGTTAGATGCAGGTATCCCTGCCTAGCTGTAAACCGCAAAACATATTGCAAATAAAGAAGCAGAAGAAAAAGAAGAAGAAAACGATAAAGAAGAAGAAGAAGAAGAAGAAGAAGAAGAAGAAGAAGAAGAAGAAGAAGAAGAAGAAGAAGAAGAAGAAGAAGAAGAAGAAGAAGAAGAAGAAAAAGAAGAAGAAGAAGAAAATGAAAAAGAAGAAGAAGAAGAGGAGGAGGAGGGAGAAGAAGAGGAAGAAGAAGAAGAAGAAGAAGAAGAAGAAGAAGAAGAAGAAGAAGAAGAAGAAGAAGAAGAAGAAGAAGAAGAAGAAGAAGAAGAAGAAGAAGAAGAAGAAGAAGAAGAAGAAGAAAAAGAAGAAAAAGAAGAAGAAGAAGAAAAAAAAGAAGAAGAAGAAGAAGAAGAAGAAGAAGAAGAAGAAGAAGAAGAAGAAGAAGAAGAAGAAGAAGAAGAAGAAGAAGAAGAAGAAGAAGAAGAAGAAGAAGAAGAAGAAGAAAATGAAGAAAAGGAGGAGAAGGAGGAAGAAGAAGAAGAAGAAGAAGAAGAAGAAGAAGAAGAAGAAGATGAAGAAGAAGAAGAAGAAGAAGAAAAAGAAGAAGAAGAAGAAGAAGAAGAAGAAGAAGAAGAAGAAGAAGAAGAAGAAGAAGAAGAAGAAGAAGAAGAAGAAGAAAAAGAAGAAGAAGAAGAAGAAGAAGAAGAAGAAGAAGAAGAAGAAGAAGAAGAAGAAGAAGAAGAAGAAGAAGAAGAAGATAAAAGAAGAATAAGAAGATAAAAGAAGAAGAAGAAGAAGAAGAAGAAGAAGAAGAAGAAGAAGAAGAAGAAGAAGAAGAAGAAGAAGAAGAAGAAGAAGAAGAAGAAGAAGAAGAAGAAGAAGAAAAAGAAGAAGAAGAAGAAGAAAAGAAGAAGAAGAAGAAGAAGAAAAAGAAGAAGAAGAAGAAGAAGAAGAAGAAGAAGAAGAAGAAGAAGAAGAAGAAGAAGAAGAAGAAGAAGAAGAAGAAGACGTAGTAGTAGAAGAAGAAGAAGAAGAAGACGGGTACTAGCTGACTGTTGCTGGCGCTTGGCTTGCCTCGTGCTGGTCGCTGTGCTGGTGCCCTGTTGCTGCTTGGTTGCCGATCTGTAAGCCGCATAAACGAAGAATACCTGCCAATGTGCATTGTACTAGATTACAATATTATAGTCACTGCTCACTTACTGTATTTTACTATTCTTCTGCATGCTCCCACCCCCACCTCCTTCTTTCTTTTGCCCCACCTCTACACAATTCCTGTTCATCCGTCGTTACTGAGTGGCAGGTATGTATATTCTTAAAAGGGGTGTGAAACATAGCTATAACATTAGGAGGCTCTAGCAATGCTTGTCATTGTGGTCAGTCGGCTAGTACAACTCCGGGAGGCCGGGTAACGTAACGACTCGCCAGCCGGCCCTAAGGTCATGTATTCGAACAGATTTCAAAGCCGAGGTCCCCCCTCCCCCCCCCCCCCCCCCCCCCCCCCCCCCCCTTGACCTTGTCCACTCAGTCTAACAAATATACCAGGTAACGCCGGGAAAGGGATGAGGGGGGGGGAGGGGGAGTGGCACTGTTGTTAACCGCATCACCTATCGAATGCTGACTGGTCCATTAACTAGACAGATAGACAGGCCCGTCTCTCTAGCGTAGTTGGCTAAACCTGATTGCGCGGTGAGCGGGTGACGAACTCCTTGTGGTCCGGGTTCACTCCCGGGGGTGGGCAGAAAAGCCACATTTCTCCCAGATTTACAGTATTTAAAATGGAATCAAGGCCGAAAGGTTGCGATATCCATAATACCAAGCCTAAGGGTTAACAACTCATGATTTGTGGATACTAAAACAAACAAACAAACAACCAGACAGATAGACAGACAGAGACAGAAACACAGAAACACAGAGACAGCGAGAGACAGAGACGCAGACATACAGAACAAGACAGAGAGATATAGACAGGAGAGAGACTGTGAGTGTCAGAGACAAGGAGAGTGATAGAGAAAACAATAATAAACGAACTTTATTTTCAAAGTGTTACAAACTGGGCACTAGGGTCGTCTTATATTCCATTCTTCCAAACATGAGGCGGGGGTGGGGGAGGGGGGGGGAATTATGAAATGAGATTTAGCCATTTTCAACTAGTTCTTTCATTACAGGACCCTGGCCAACTATCTGATGTGGAGGCTGGTCATGGACATGGTGCCAGAGCTCAACGAACCCTACCAGCAGGTGGCGGGTCTGTACAAGCATGCCATACAGGTACGGTTGGTCACTGAAGTGTCGTGGGCCTCTGTGTTTGCCTTGCGCTTCTCTAGTTGCTTGAGAGGTGGATTTGTTTTGACCTCACTGTATTCTAACTCAGAGCGCCGACTCGAAGAAATCAATGGTGATGAGAGAGTTTATTCCTAAAAAAAATTTCGGTAGTGGTCAGGCAGGTTCCAGCGCCTATGTTCTTAATGGACGGTTACACTTCATTCTCTGCCTCACACTGTAATTAAGGCATAGTTTTGTTACAAACTTTTTTCTAAATTGTGTACTCATGGCACTGTCTCGTTGTATGTAAAAACAGACGGACTTGGTGGTAGAAGAGTGTTAACTGAGAGGTTTGCCATATAAAGATCTATTTCCTGAATGTTGATAATGTATGAGTTGCTTGAGTTTGGGTTAATGATGTAAGATACCAATGTAGTGAATAGACAAATGAAAGTTGCGAACAGGGTTGTAAACATAAAGGTTGGATGCATAAAGGTTGGAAAAAGGGTTGTACACATAAGGGTTGGTCACAATAAGGTTGGACACAGGGTTGTAAACCTAGGGTTTAACACATGATGGTTGGAAACATGAGTGGTGAACAGAAGAGTGGTGAACATATGTGTGGGAAAAAAATGAGTGGTGAACATCTGTATGGGAAACATATGAGTGGTGAACATCTGTATGAGGGATATATAAGTGGTGAACATGTGTATGGGAAACATATGAGTGGGGAACATGTGTATGGGAAACATATGTGTGGTGAACATCAGTACTGGAAACAAATGGTGAACATATGTATGGGAAACAAATGAGTAGTGAACATCAGTATGGGAAACAAATGAGAGGTGAACATCAGTATGGGAAACAAATGAGTGGTGGACATCAGTATGGGAAACAAATGAGTGGTGAACATTTGTATGGGGAACATATGAGTGGTGAACATCTGTATGGGAAACATATGAGTGGTGAACATTTGTATGCGAAACATATGAGTGGTGAACATCTGTATGGGGAACATATGAGTGGTGGACATATGTATGGAAAACATATAAGTGGTGAACATCTGTATGGGAAACATATGAGAGGGGAACATCTGTATGGGGAACATCTGAGTGGTGAAAATCTGTATGGGGAACATATGAGTGGTGAACAAATGTATGGCAAACATATGAGCGGGGAACATATGTATGGGAAACATATGAGTGGTGAACATATGTAGGGTGAACATATGAGTAATGAACATATATATGGGAAGCATATGAGTGGGGAACATATGAGTGGTGAACATCTGTATGGGGAACATATGAGTGGTGAACATATGTATGTGAAAAAATATGGGAAGCATGTGAGTTGGGAACATATGAGTGGTAAACATCAGTATGGGGAACAAATGAGTGGTGAACATATGTATGTGAAACACATGAGTGATGAACATCTGTATTAGAAGGATATGAGTAGTGAACTTCTGTATGGAAAATATATGAGTGGTGAACATCTGTATGAGGAACACATGAGTAGCGAACATATGTATATGGAACATATGAGTTGGGAACATATGTATGGGAAACATATGAGTGGTGAACATATTTATGGGAAGCATATAAGTGGAAAACATATGAGTGGTGAACATCTGTATGGGAAACACATGAGTGGTGAACATATGTAGGGTGAACATATGAGTAATGAACATATATATGGGAAGCATATGAGTGGGGAACATATGAGTGGTGAACATCTGTATGGGGAACATATGAGTGGTGAACATATGTATGTGAAAAATCTGTATGATGAACATATGAGTAATGAACATATATATGGAAAGCATATGAGTGGGGAACATATGAGTGGTAAAAATCTGTGTGTGAAACATATGAGTGAAGAACATATGAGTGGTGAGCATTTGTATGGGAAACATATCAGTGGTAAACATCTGTATGGGGAACATATGAGTGGCGAACATCTATATGGTGAACATATGAGTAGTGAACAATAATATGGGAAGCATATGACTGGGGAACATATGAGTGGTGAACATCTGTATGGTGAACATATGAGTAATGAACATAGATATGGAAAGCATATGAGTGGGGAAAATATGAGTGGTAAAAAATCTGTATGGGGATCATATGAGTGGTGAACATATGTATGTGAAACCTATGAGTGGAGAACATATGAGTGGTGAGCATCTGTATGGGAAACAAATGAGTGGTAAACATCTGTTTGGGGAGCATATGAGTGGGGAACATCTGTATGGTGAACATATGAGTGGTGAACATATATATGGGAAGCATATGACTTGGGACCATATGAGTGGTGAACATCTGAATGGGGAACATATGAGGGGTGAACATATGTATGGTGAGCATATTAGTAGTGAACATATATATATGGGAAGCATAAGAGTGAGGAACATATGAGTGGTGAACATGTGTATGGGGAACATATGAGTGGTGAACATATGTATGTTAAACATATGAGTGGAGAACATATGAGTGGTGAACATCTGTTGGGGAACACAAGAGTGTTGAACATCGGTATGGGGAACATATGAGTGGTGAACATCTGTATAGGGAACACATAACTGGTGAACATCTGTATGAGGAACATATGAGTGGTGAACATCTGTATGAGGAACGAATGAGTGATGAACATCGGTATGAGGAACATATGAGTGGTGAACATCTGTATGGGGAACATATGAGTGGTGAACATCTTCTGGAGAAACATATGAGTGGTGAACATCTGTATGAGGAACATATGAGTGGTGAACATATATATGAGGAACATTTGAGTGGCGAACATCTGAATGGGGAACATATGAGTGGTGAACATCTGCTTTGGAAACACAAGAGTGTTGAACATCTGTATGGGGAATATATGAATGGTGAACATCTGTATGTGGAATATATGAGTGGGAAACATATGAGTGGTGGTCATTTGTATTGTTAAGACTAGAATGGTGAACATCTGTATGGGGAACATATGAGTGGGGAACATATGAGTGATTAAGATTTGTATGGGTAACATATGAGTGGTGAACATCTGTTTGGGGAACATTTGAGTGGTGAGCACGTAAATGGTAAAAGTATGTTTAGAATTGTTCTAATTTAGTTCTAGACAATATTTATCTATGAATTAACGTATCTCACATCTTGATTTCAACATAGTCCATGTTTAACTGTGTGTGTTGCCAGGGTGCGAAGAGAGACTTGGTGAGGTGGAAGAAATGTGTGGGCTTTGTCAACCAGAAAATGGGAATGGCTGTCGGAGCTATGTTTGTCAGGGATAATTTCAAGAAGGAGAGTAAAGAGACGGTAAGACGGTTTTTTTCCCTTACATTGTGCAGTGGGTTTGATTCCTGATAATGTTTTCAAAATGGGAGTGTTGTATGCAGGTTATACATCCCCCAGTGTCTAGAAATATACAATTTAAGACCATTTGGCCACTACCTTGGTAACTGATGCAAATGTGTACACAAGATACAAAAGGACATGGTGAGGCCATGTTGGTTGACTAGCAAGAACAGGACAACAATATGCCATGATACCTATTTGTTAGTGTGCATAAAGCCTACAATAATTTTTTGGCATTAGGAGGCATTGAGGATTGCAAAGATTGTCGTCCTGAAACCGACACTTATCACAACAGTTTTCTTACTGCACAGTCGTCGAGAGCTCAGATGGCTTGGTCACACTTCGAGGATTCATTATGGTGGATAGGCTGGCTGACTCCTGACACTTTGAAAAAGATTATTTTGTTCTACTTGTCGTTTTCTGATGCAATTTTCGCATTTCTAGAGGGAAAGTGCAAAGCTTCCTTTGCCCAGTTGGAGTGCTTAGTGGGACATTGTGATGTGCCGATTTAATTTGGAATATTTTTGTTTCCCTATTGTGCCAGCAGACGTTTTGTGTTTTGAACTGCATTAACAATGGCGAGTGAGCAAATTTGTATGGAATAAGATGTACTTATGCAGCATTGTACGTGCAAATACAGATTCACTGCTGCATCAACAGTGGGCTGCAATTCTGATGGAAGACCTTTAGTGGTGGCACATCTAAAGGCTGCATTATGCAATTTCTTTGCATGTGCAAGCTTCAATATTTTGCTTGAACCAATTTTTTTTTATTAAATTAGTTTCTAAAATAGGATAGTGGAAAGGCGGAGCAGCCAAATGGAGAATAGTCTGCAGTCATTCTGAAACCTAGACCGGTGGATAACGACTGAAGATGACGACCCGTGGGAGGGAGGATGGATGAGAGGACCTAATGACATCTTCTATGGTAAATCACATATGGTCAGTGATCTACTACGGTATAGAGAAGGACATGTGATTTGTGTGAATTCGTGGCATCAGGATCCAAAGGACTGGAGTGCATGAAAAGAAGAGGAGGAAAGCGGAAATGTGGGTGGTGATTGGGGGGGGGGGGGGGGTTGAGGGGGTGGTCAAAGAAACGAATACACTAACAGTAGAAAATTATTGCAAATATATTCAATACATGTAAAGAGATGAAATACTTGCTGTGGCGAGAATTGCCATGAAGTCCCATGCTTCACTTGTAGACATCTTTTCTTAACGCTAATGCCCGTCTCTCTAGCGTAGTTGGCTAAACCTGATTGCGCGGCGAGCGGGTGACGAACTCCTTGTGGTCCGGGTTCACTCCCGGGAGTGGGCAGAAAAGCCACATTTCTCCCAGATTTACGGTATTTAAAATGGAATCAAGGCCGAAAGGTTGCGATATCCATAATACTGAGCCTAAAAGTTAACAACTCATGCCTTCTGGATACTAAAACAAACAAACTTAACGCTAATAGGTCTTCTAGTCACAGTTCACCTATTGCCAAAGGCTGGGTTTACATTTTCCAAGCTTGTGGAAGAAAAGGCAGCGTATGTCATGATTTGATGATTTTCTGAAACTGTATTTGCTGGACTGAAAGGGGATGATATCAGGGCCTGAATGTAGAGCACAGAACAGCATGCCATGCGCCCTAATAGTGGCAGACAAGAAGACGAGGAAGAGGGAGAACGAGAAGAGAAGGGGAAAACAAAAAAGAAGAAGACGGAGGATATAGTTTAAAGTATGCTGGTTTAAATAGTAAAGGGAAAATGTATCTTAGACACTTACACTAAAGTAAAAGGCACATTTAACTCTTTTGGCACAACGGGTATATGATATCAATCTACGCTCAGTAGGTGATACGGTCCCAGGACATTACCTGATTCCCATTTTAAGCTGGGTCGATCTAAAAAGCCAACATTATTTTGAGAAAATATAGATACGGATCTGAACCCTTTAGATGTTTGAGTAGACAGGTTGGACAAGCTGCTGCTCTTCAGCGGTTTCCTCAATTGTCATCATTGTCGGATATTTAAGAACATTTTTTTTTTTTTCATCTGTTAACATTTTCTAGGCACTTGAGATGATTCACAACATTCGAGAAGCTTTTAATGAACTTTTGGAAGAGAACGAATGGATGGATGAACAGACCAAACGGTTTGCTAGAGAAAAGGTTGGTGGTGTAGGATTTGTTTTCTTTTACTCTCTTCTTTACTAGAATATAGAGGTAAACTATGATGTTTGTAAGTCTAACATCTATCTCTCTTTTGTCACCTCAAGTTCCTTGTTGACACATACGCATTCATAAGTAATCCACATTGCTGCCCTGTTACTTTTCTGCTTATAGTTTCGCATGTCATTTTACTGCTTTACTGCGTGCTCTGCAGACAGAACAGTCCAGGGGGCCAGTGGTACCTTCTGTATGACTACTAGCAGCATGACAATGGAAGCGATGGCGGTAACACTAGTTTTCATGTGGCTAGCATCGCAGATCTTTTCTCACGTTTGTGTGTGTGTATGTGTGTGTGTGTGCTGAGTGATTCCGTGAGCATTACCCGGCAGGTCAAGGCGGGCTTTGTACGCAGACAGCTGATCGAGTCATTGCAAAACTTCACCTTTGTCTCAGGAAATGCGGGTATTGTTGGCAATGAAAGAGTCGACAGGTTAACCGGCTCTGCCTTAGTTACAGAGGGCCGGCCCATGGGTCATGCCGACATTGTTAATGCCTTTATAGAGTTAGGACGATCGGGGGATTTTGTAAACAACACATCCACATCTTTGTTAAGAGTGCAAGAACTGGGAGTAAAGATCAGCACAGCCGGGCACGAGTGCACACCAGACAAACGTTAAGTCTTGTCAACCAACCGCCGGACTCTGGTGTGTATGTTGAAGGGGAATATGATCATCTATGGAAATGCTCGGAGTACCAAATCATAACTCATGTTATTTTACATTCACGTTTCCTTAGGTCGTTTACGTCTTTTTTCTTTTATGTTCTGCCAGAGACCTGTTCTTGCCAATGTGTCATGTGCAATTCTGCAGACATTTCCAAGCTATCTTCATCCTCGTCCCTTGACAAAGCTTGCCAGTGATAAACATTGTGGTTTCTACAGTTACTTATTTGTGATTTTGCTTGGCCAAGAATTCACAGGATTCTCCGTAGACATGCATTTTCAAAAGTCTCTATTGTTTGTGTAAGTGTGTAATTCCGGCTGTAATTTTCCGACACCCATTGTTGTACAAGAGTACACCTAAATGTTGCTATTGTACAAGTTTTGTCTTCAAACTAAGCCCCAGTGGTTTCCATATGTTGTTAAGCATCGCAAATGCTTAATTTGATATGTTTATGTTAGATGTTACCGCATGTTTAGAATCGCCATCTGGTGTAACTTTACTTCCGAGACACACATAGTCTAAAGACGGTGGTCAGGCCAGATCTAGTTTACTAGAACTTTTTCGCGAGATCTACAAACTTTCTCATGAGTTGCTTTTTGTGCTCCCTAATGAACAGTATGATTGGTTTCAGTCCATGTCTTCTTCTAGTTTCTTCATTTTCAATTATATCTCTTCTGATTACCCTGGCAGCTCTTGTTGTTTTGTTCTTCGCGTTCACAAGCTGCAGACTCCAGCGGAAAGTCCTCGTTGTTGATTCATTTCTGGACTATTCCAGGACTTGAGTTTTGCGTGTGCATCCATCTTGCAAACTCCTGGTGTCTATTGCTTCCTTGCCTTCCAAGCAGATGCTCTCCGACTTTGAAGGAAATCAGCCAAGAAATGCTGGTAGTTATTTGCACCGCCCTGTAAAAGAGAAGCAACTAACTCGTTTCTATGTTCACATACACTTTATATGTTTCATAAATATTGTATTCTGCAACTTCTAACAGGCCAATGCCATGACTGAACGAATTGGTTATCCAGATTATATAACTGATCCAGTCCAGCTAGATGCTAAATATGAGACGGTAAGTGTCTCGTTGGTTAGTTGGTTTGTTGGTTGAATGGGTTGTTGGCTGACTGGACTTGTTGGTTGAGTGGGTGGTTAATTAAGTGGGTTGTTGGTTGATTGGGTGGTTGACTGGCTGGGTTTGTCGGTTGAGTGGGTGGTTGGCTGGCTGGACTTGTTGATTGAGTTGGTGGTTGCTTGGCTGAGTTTTTCGGTTGAATGGGTGGTTGGCTAGCTGGACTTGTTGGCTGAGAGGGTGGTTGCTTCGCTGGGTTTATTGCTTGAGTGGGTGATTCGTTGGCTGCGTTTGCAGGTTGAGTCGGTGGTTGGCTGGCTGGGCTTTTTAGCTAAGTGGGTGGTTGGCTGGCTGGACTTGGCTGAGTGGGTGGTTGGCTGGCTGTTTTTTTGTGTGTGGCTTAGTTGGTGGTTGTAGGTTTAGTGGGTGGTTGGCTAGCTGGGCTTGTTGGTTGAGTGGGTGGTTGATTAGCTGGGTTGTTGGCTGAGTGGATGGTTGGCTAAAAGGGTTTATCGACTGAGTGGATGGTTGGCTGGCAGGGTTTATCGATTGAGTGGATGGTTGGCTGGCAGGCAGGGTTTATCGATTGAGTGGATGGTTGGCTGGCAGGCTTTATCGACTGAGTGGATGATTAGCTGGCAGGGTTTATTGACTAAGTGGATGGTTGGCTGGCAGGGTTTATTGGTTGAGTGGACGGTTGGCTGGCAGAGTTTATAGATGGAGTGGACCGTTGGCTGGCAGAGTTTATCGATTGAGGGGATGGTTGGCTGGCAGGGTTTATTGACGGAGTGGATGGTTGGCTGGCAGGGTTTATCAATTGAGTGGATGGTTGGCTGGCAGGGTTTATCAATTGAGTGGATGGTTGGCTGGCAGAGTTTAATGATTGAGTGGATGGTTGGTTGGCAGGGTTTATCGATTGAGTGGATGGTGGATTGGCAGGGTTTATCGATTGAGTGGATGGTTGGCTGGCAGAGTTGATCGATTGAGTTGATGGTTGGCTGGCAGAGTTTATCAATTGAGTGGATGGTTGGCTGGCAGAGTTTAATGATTGAGTGGATGGTTGGTTGGCAGGGTTTATCGATTGAGTGGATGGTTGGCTGGCAGAGTTTAATGATTGGGTGGATTGTTATTTGGCAGGGTTTATCGATTGAGTGGATGGTGGACTGGCAGGGTTTATCGACTGAGTGGATGGTTGGCTGGCAGGGTTTATCGATTGAGTGGATGGTTGGCTGGCAGGGTTTATCGATTAAGTGGGTGGTTGGCTGCCGGGGTTTATTGGTTGAATGCCTGGTTGGCTGGGTTTGTTGGCTGAGTGGATGGTTGGCTGGCAGAGTTTATCGATTGGGTGGACGGTTGGCTGGCAGGGTTTATCGATTGAGTGGACGGTTGGCTGGCAGGGTTTATCGATTGCGTGGATGGTTAGCTGGCAGAGTTTATCGATTGGGTGGATGGTTGGCTTGCAGGGTTTATCGATTGCGTGGACTGTTGGCTGGCAGAGTTTATCCATTGAGTGGACGGTTGGCTGGCAGAGTTTATCGATTGCGTGGATGGTTGGCTGGCAGAGTTTATCGTTTGAGTGGACGGTTGGCTGGCAGGGTTTATCGATTGAGGGGATGGTTGGCTGGCAGGGTTTATCGACTGAGTGGATGGTTGGCTGGCAGAGTTTATCGATTGAGTGGATGGTTGGCTGGCAGAGTTTAATGATTGAGTGGAAGGTTGGCTGGCATGGTTTATCGATTGAGTGGATGGTTGGTTGGCAGGGTTTATCGATTGAGTGGATGGTTGGCTGGCAGAGTTTATCGATTGAGTGGATGGTTGGCTGGCAGAGTTTAATGATTGAGTGGAAGGTTGGCCGGCATGGTTTATCGATTGAGTGGATGGTTGGCTGGCAGAGTTTAATGATTGAGTGGATGGTTGGCTGGCAGAGTTTATCGATTGAGTGGATGGTTGGCTGGCAGAGTTTAATGATTGAGTGGAAGGTTGGCCGGCATGGTTTATCGATTGAGTGGATGGTTGGTAGGCAGGGTTTATCTATTGAGTGGATGGTTGGCTGTTAGGGTTTACTGGGTGAGTGCCTGGTTGGCTGGGTTTGTTGGCTGAGTGGGTGGCTAAGTGGGTGGGTTGTTGGTTGACTGCGAGATTGATTGGGTGGGTGGTTGGTAAGGTGGCTGGTTTGGTAAGGTAGGTGAAAGACTGTGTGGTTAGCTTGAACTGGTTTGGGGGATTGGTTGGGTGTTTTGCTTTGGTTGGTTAGTTGGACTGGATGGTTGGCTGGGATAGTTGGGTTGATTGGGTTGAGTGGGCTATTGGCATGGTGGAATGTTAGGAAGGTGGGTGGTTAATTTAGATTCATTGGTTGATAATATTTAGACGTATATGTATACATACATACATATAAATACATGTCTGGATGTGAATGCTGATCTGTCAGTTCCCTTACTTCTGTGTTAACGGCCGCAGGAATCTGATCTCTGCAGTACCTTCCCAGGGTGATGACAACCTTGGAGATGACACACATGTTTACTGGTGTGTTTGTCCATTCTTGTAAGTCACATACCTGCTGGAATAAGTCTTCAGCCATGGCCATCCAGGAGACTCATTCCTTTTGTGTCGTGCCAGGAAGGCTGATCTGGGGAGTTAAAGACGGCCGCCGTAATGCTGACCACATTACCCACCCAGTGCCGATTGGTCTGTAAAAATATGGCACGCTCTTCCCATATGCCCGATGCGCCTAAGGCGTGAAAAGGGATCTTTCCTTTACTTTTTACTTTATAGCTTTGTGCAGTGGGTGGTTAACGATGCCAATACCATCTGCCAGTACCTTGACCTGTGCGACTTTCTGCCTGTTTAGAAATTGTAGGAAAACCCAGGACATATCGCACTGGGGAAAACAACTGATATACTGCTCTATACTTTTTTTTTCTCAAAAATGACCTTGGCTCCCAGGTCGACCCAACCTTGAGTGGGTACCGGGTGCAGTTCCGGGAAGTAGACGCGGCCGGCGTGATGCTGACCACATCACCAATATTATACCGATTGGTCTATAAAAAAGGTCTAGCCCTGTATGCCCTATACGCCCAAAGGCGTGGACAAGGGTCCATCACTTTTTTTTTCAAATGCTCTATAACAAGCATATCATAAAAGGAAACAAAATTAAGAATTTGATTATATCATATATTCTGGGCTAAAATGTTGATAAATCGAAGTTTAGCTGTAAACCACAACACACAGGGTCAAATTTCCTTGTAGGGGTGAAGAGAAAAAAAAAAGCTTGGCCTAGAAAAATGTCCTCTGCAGAAAAGAAAAGCCTCAAGACAGATCGTGATCATATCTCAGGAATCGCATGCCGAATGGTCTGGAACAAATGTTGTACTTGTACTGAAATGTTGAATGTTGATTGCTGAATTTGGAATCGACATCACAGTATTCAGGACACTCCTATAAGCATCCCATTCCCATATTCAGCTACAAGCGAAGAGTAGGAATTCCGATAGTACATCCGTCTCGCCTCTTCCTTGAGGGCTGAGCGTCGGTCAGCTCCCCTGGTAACTATACTTGCATTAAGCGTCTCAAAATATACCACAGTATTTGTTCCAGCAGCATGCTTCTTCCAGCAGCTTGTTTGAACCAACAGCATATTTTTACCAAAGGTATCTGTACCAACCACATATACTTATACCGGCCGCATGTTTGTACCGGAAGCATGTTTGTACCATCAGAATAGTTGTACCATTATATTAGTTTGTGCACAGTTTTATCTTGTGATTTTCAGCTCAGCTTTAGAGAAGACAGATACTTTGACAACTTGTTGCAGTTGCTAGAGTATGCCTCCAGGAAGATGATGGAGAAGCTAAGGCAGCCAGTACGCCATGACCTGTGAGAACTGTTGTGTTGCTTGTTGAATAGCTTCGATGTGTTCAGAGGCAGACGCGAAAAAGTATCTTCCACAATACCTATGTGGGATTTCAACACCATTGTTGTTATCACATTTATTTGACATATTTCTTTTTAGGCGCTCATCTCTTTATTTGTCTGTCATGTGTACCTATCTGATCTCTCTCTCTCTCTCTCTCTCTCTCTCTCTCTCTCTCTCTCTCTCTCTCTCTCTCTCTCTCTCTCTCTCTCTCTCTCTTCGATCATTGACGTCCTGTTCCCATGAATGCACTTTAGAGCTTAGAGCAGAGTGTCAAGCTTCACTTGCAGGGTCACGGGTAGGGAGGATACTGTGGATCTTTTCTCCAAGCCATGCCGACAGATGTGGTCAGAGCCCTTTGAGAACAAGTAACAAAGAAGAGAAACTAGATTATTATGGACTGGAGAGAATGATTTACCTGGGTGTGTGACCAGAGGGTTTCGGCTGGCACACGACGCTCAGAGCAAAGGCAAGACGGACAACCAACCTGACTGCGGCCAGCGCCATTAGAATTAGAACACTGCTTTGGAGGGGGACGGAGCGCATATGGGAATGTCCCGAGTGCTGTGATATCAATTCCTGACTCAACTTAACTCAATGAATGCACTTCTTTTCCTTTGTCTTTCATGTTCCGATTGCTATCATCTTAAAATGGGAGTATTGGCCAGCACGACATCTTCTACTCATCTTTAGTTCACTTTAGAAGATGTCCTTAGGAAATGTGCCAGTCTTCAGGGTAGTAGTGTGTCACATCTCTTGAAGCCTTCGAAGTCAGGGCATTAAACAAACTGTTGTGATACCTGCTCTTCACATTACATCAATGCTTGTAACCGTGTCTTGCGCCCTACAGCCAGGTAATACATTTACAATAAACAGACGGATTCATTAATTATCACAGTTAGAGTCACGCACAATTCTCTTGATGATATGTGGACCGTGGGGAAGTAAGAAACTTGAAGGAAGACAGTTCTCGCAAAACGTGGTAGAAAGACAGTAGTTTGATCACTGTCCGTAGTTAATGTATTTCATGTACTGCAAGTGGGTCACCGTTTAATGACATCATTTCCTACCAATGAGAAAGTATACAAACATATCCAGTCAATCGCCTAGTTAAAATAGAGAGCAGTTAGTCACGGCAAAATCCAGAAACATGCACACACAGTAAATGCATAAGGCAGCTGCCTCAGATGCAAGCACCAGCTGCCCCCCCCCCCCAGCAATGAATTAAATTGGGAAGGAAAAAGGGGCCTCAAGGATTGGTGGTAAGATAGAGAGAAGACTATTTTAGATGTATGATCTGATTTATATAAGATTTTTGTAGATGTGTGGACTAAGTGACGGAGATATACGAGATCCATTCAGCCATCTGCTATATCAGTCAATCCATTAACACCACTTGTCTTTTCTACAGTCGATCTTTTCTTCTACTCATCTATATATCCACCGACCTAGTGAATTACACACATAGCCATCCACATTTCAATTCACTAATCCACTCAACCACTCTCCTATCAAACACTCACTCAGCTAACGCCACCTGTATATCTATATAAGATATTTATTTTCTTCACAGGTGGGAGCAGGATCCAGTGATAGTGAATGCGTTTTACAACCCCAACACAAACAACATAGGTGAGTACACCAGCTGTTTGTTCTAGCTATGGCCAGTTGTTAAAAAACTTGCTACTGCCTGAATTTACGACTTTTTGGGAGGTTTGGAAAAGACTTTTTTTGAGCCTTTAGATCTGGTGCCATGTGGCTGGTGCAGTGATCATCAACTGTGCAGACTAGGATGTTTTTTTTTTTTTTTTCCTGAGACAAACACGTCTATCACTTTAACAATGATCCAATCCGGCCGACCGCAAGAATTCGTGGCTTTATAACCGCTTGGCCAGCCGTCCTTTACAGGACGTTGCAGAACCAACCCCAATAGCCCCTGACTGTTGTGTGGTTTCTCTACGCAAATTTACGTCTAGCAGTTTGCCATTGCTCACTGGACGGTCGGCCCCTGATACCACTGTCGAAACCAACGCAAGGCGCTTGACAATAACGAATTGTTAGATCGGCTGTGGCATAAGGGACATAATTAATGCTGGAAGAGAGATGGAAAGCGCTAAATTCACCCCACTCTCCCCCCCCCCCCCTCTCTCCCTCAACGCCCCCCCCCCCTTTCCCCCAACCCCCTACCACCTAAGCGCCGTTTTCAACATCACTTTCAAATACATTGCAAGGCTTTCAGGAAAATGTATAGAGCACAGTGAAGCATGTTTTTCACACACCGATGAAAATCAGGACAACGGCGCGTCATGAGTATACGGTTAAAACCTTATTAACACGAATTTGCTTAAGACGAACATTTAGTTATCATATTTGTCCCAGCATGGACGTATTATTGTTAGTAGGCGGTTAGCACAAATTTGTTAACATGCACTTTGCATTTTCAGTCCGTAAAATTTGCATTAACCAGGTTCTGATCTATATTTTAAGACCAACCTGCACTCGATGCCTGATGTGGTCAACATCACGCCTGCCTCTTTACATGTGTGTGTGTGTGTGTGTGTGTGTGTGTGTGTGTGTGTGTGTGTGTGTGGCTGGGTAGGCCCTGGAGTCCATTGTAAATAATATCTCCAGCTCGATGTTGATTACAAACGACCGCATCTTATGTGTGTGTGTGTGTGTGTGTGTGTGTGCGTGTGCGTGTGTGTGTGTGTGTGTTTCTAATTACTGACCTCAGACTTGATTTCTTTTTTTTTTTTTTTTCGTTTTCATTTCAGTATTTCCTGCAGGAATATTACAGCCTCTGTTTTATAGCTCTGTTTTCCCAAAGTAAGTTGTTTAGTGTTATTGATGTTTTTCTTCACTGTTTATCACAAATAGACTAGGTACTAGGAAAAGTAATAGTATAGAAACATGTAGGCATTTATAAAGATATATAACACTATAGACCACTAGCGTAACTAGGGTCCTTTATGTGACCTACTTTTTAATCTTAACAGACAAGTGTCTAATAACTTCTTTTAGTCGTCTCACTGATACCAGGTTGTAGCCAGTGTCGTCGGCAAACTAACAGTAATAATTATCATTTGTTGTTTGTTTCAGATCGCTGAACTATGGAGGTATCGGTGTTGTGATTGGACATGAGATCACCCACGGGTTTGATGACAAAGGTAAATGCAATCACAGGACAGGACTTTAATTGTATCAGTGAATAAAAGTGTGAGATCATGCATCTTTCCCATGGCAACTTATGAATGTAAGGCGTGGAAGCTCACAGTCTTTTAAGAAAAATGTGGGAGCTTTTGAACTGCTTCTCCTTCTTATTTTTCTTCTTTCGTTCGCTTGAAATAGATTTTTTATATCTGCAATGTTGTCCCTAGTATAAACTTCACTGCCCTTTGTTACTCACTCAGAGACCAGTAAAGTTTGACCTGCACCGATGTTTTTCTTGGCCAAAAGTGTTGCCTTGATATGTTTATTTGGGACAGTCTTGGAGGACATGATCTGTTGTCTCATATGTGCACATGGCTGATTCGGCGATTTTAAACGTTGTGTACATCTGGCTGCGAAATCGACTGTGTCCTGTTCTAAGGCGTAAAATAATAACTTGCTCTGGTCTGTCCATAAAATGGTAATCGTCTTGTTCTGGTTTTGGTGGCTTTCTGATTGATTTGATTATTCTCTTCTTTTTGTTGATAAGAGACTAGTACGTTAGGTTGTTCTTCATTTGCACTTTTCTTAGCTAGTTTATCAGCTCTTTCATTTCCAGGAACTCCACAGTGGGATGGTATCCATTGCATAGTTACCTGCCAAAAAAGACCTATTGATTGATCGGTTGAAATAACACTAAGTTGATAAAGTGAAGGAGCCATTGTCGCCAGTGTGTTACCGGAAAAGAAGTGAAAAGTGACAGACCTCTTATCTGGTGCCTGGGGCATAATAAGAATAAACTCACAGGGAGCAAGTACAGCGGGGATCTACAGTCATCAGTAGAAATTATCCTCTTTCGACACACGTTTCGGCCCACGATTCCTAAACGTATTCGGAGGTGGGCCCACCTGAGTTCATGACACTCAGGGCTGCTTCCCCGCTGCACAGATTACCGGATGGTGTTACACTTTCGGCCAGAGACAAGACGACTTAGTGGTTTCGAAGGAGGTACTGTGAGATAAGAAGTCGCCACGGCAGCTTAATTAGAACAGTCAGCGTGCCTGGAC